GCAGCCATCTCATATCTAATAAAATCATAGGCAAAAAGAGAATGGTGTAAAAATATTTCAAAATTCTTTAAAAAGTACAAAACCAGAAAGTAACAGAGAATTAATCCTACTCTTGTCAAAAATATTAAGGACAGAAAATAGCTAAAATGAATTTTAGCTTCCTTTTCTCTTCCTTTGCTATTCTGAGGTACACAGATAACTGTTTTCTCAGCCACTTTCTCAGAGGAAATATGTTAAACTCTTTACAATGGCTTAGATTATTTTGCCAAATAGTTCTGATATAAAATGAATGGAAACCAGGAGCATCTAAAAGTCTTCCTGGCTAAAGAAAGCACTACTTACATTGTGGAATTTTCTCTCTTCATTCCTCAGACCAGAAAAAGAATATTTTTCTTAAGAACTCAGAAGACATGAGGTGTGAATACCACATTTACTATAATTATAGAAGTACTGCCAGTCCAAAGGCAGTACTATAACTTGAAATCAGTAATCGAGTCAATTTTTCATTCTCCTGATTGCATTAAGCTGACTATAAGCACTGGAAAAATACTTCAGATGGTCATGTAACATAGGTACTGACTGATGCCTTAAGTTTTAGTTTTTGTATTTTCCAGATTCTGTATTGCATTAGTATATAACTCTGAACTTCATATAAAACGTTAGAAGTTCTCACAGTTCAGTTAGACAAAACAATCCTTTTCCAGCCCAAGAACTAAGGATACCATTGCAACTTCAGGTCCAAAAGGTATAAACAATGGGGAATTGAGGAGAGCAATCTGAGAGGATGGGACTTCATAACCTGAAGCTGTAGTTATACAATTAATTGCAATACGTATATGGACCCAAACTTATCGAAGTGTGAAAACTCGTGATTTGGGGTCCATCTTGGGTAGAGCCATGGCTAGGCTCTTGTACTGCCCAAGGTGTATCCTTTGAAGGTATTTTTAATAAATACCTACCTTATTCCTTTAACACTGTCTAGCCTCTTTCCAAGTAACCTCTCAAGGCATCATGACAAATACCTACCCCTCATCACACCTCCCTGCATTGCCACCATTTCTTACACGGGTCTCCTGGAAAAAGATGCTCAGAGAAGCAGCAAAGAGGTAGATGCACTATTTCTGTGAAACCTGCTAAATCCTATATATTAAAGAGCCTATTGTACAGAAAATTCCAAAGAGAGAAATGAAAGCAAAAATACAAAAAGGAAGGCTTCACTGATTTATCTTCTTGCTTTAAAATTACAACCAGGAAGTGTTAAAAGTTTACTTTAATGAGGTTTTTCTTCATACTCTCTCATCCTTCCAACCTCAGTTGTATCATTCATATTACAGTCCAACTTGGCTGCATTTTCCACTTGAAATGGCAATGCAGAATACCAACTCAGTTAAAGGTCTGTTAGACTTTGTCAGTTGCTTGAAAAGGCAATAATCTCTTTTTTTCTATTCCTTTAATATGTTGAAAAGTTTTGGGCTTTTAGATTTTCTACCCCAATATGGAAGGCAGAAGAGAGCAGAGGAGAAAATAGTAGAGAACAGTGTATTCTTTGTAGTGAGAAGGCTTTAAGCAACAACTGAGATAGGGAGGACTACAAAAACAGCTGTTATTAATTCCTGGTATCTTGCATATTAAGAAAAGGTATAACATTCCTGCCATACAGAATTGACAGAGCAAGTTTACATTTTATCAATTCAGATTACAAAGACTACATATGTGTAGATACTCATTTAAAATCAGAAATGTTGAAAAAGATCAACAAATCAAGCTATTTCACAATAGTTATTTTTCCTTACAAAAAAAAAAATTAAAATCTAGTTCTTCTCATTAGGAAGGACTATCTGATCAGACTAAAGCCAAAAGCAGCTAAACTCTACAATTTATACCATCTCCTAGTGCTAAGAAATAATCTGAATGTTTTACTGTATTTAAAATTCACTTGAACAAATCTCAGCATAGATATTAAATAGAGTTATGCAAATTCTTAGATATGTGCAAGGAATTAACTTGAAAAATATTCTCAGGTAAACCTCAGATGCTGGATTCCTTTGGTATGTAGAAGGTAATACCGCCTGACAATTAATTACTTGCCTGTGTGTCTCACAGTGAGTAAAGCTCCATCGTAGATGATTTGGATAAATGCTCCTGAGAACATTATATAGCATTGTCTGTCAGAATAAAGACCAGAAAAGTCTTGTCGCCAGGAGAATGAAAAGGAAACCGAGACAACTCATGGATAAATCCTTGCAAAGATCATAAAATGATCCTCAATGGTGTAAGTTACTTTGCACCATAGAGAAACACTTGCAGTCAGGGGATACAGCCTTCTGTGTTCCTAAGACACCTCCTTTAAGAGCGATGAACTCAATGGCAGAAATATAAACAGACACAGCAGTGAAAAACTGTTTTAAGAAGTCTGGTAAAGTAGACTGAAAATTTTCAGCTATCAAAACTGCAGTCGTATAACCTCTGTATATATTGTCCATACACAGGAAGTTGTATTTAACACTGTTCTATGAAAACAAGCACTATTAACCATGGTAGCTTTCTTGAGACAAACACTCTGACACTGTTTCCCCCACTACATCATCGCTACCTACCTTCTGGTACCTTTTGCTATCAGCACCATTAAGGAGTGAAAAAAAAAGGGATCTCTCCCAAAGAACAACCTTGTTTCATCCACAGAACTAAAAAGTGATGTTCCTGGAACATTTCCTTCTGGGCACTCTTTATCCACACAAAGGGAAAAAAAAGAAAAAGCCACCCTCCACCATATATTACAACAAGCAATTTAATGATCTGAGGAAAGAAAAAAAGCAGCAACTTTCACAGACTACACTCACTGTACGTAGTAAACCGTCATTTTCAAGGCACCAGATGCACAATAAAGGAGAAAAGGTAAAGGAAACAAAAAAAACATTTGGTTATTTCTTGCCAGGCGAGTATCAAAAAAGCTGAGCAATTTGCAGAAGTTATTTCTCAAGAAGAACAGTTACTCCAAAATGCAGTATCTATTACCTACCTTGTAGAAGGGCTCCATTTCTCTTGAAAAAGGTGCTTCCTGGCCAAATGGGTGGACCTGATGTGCTAAAGGGAATAAGAAACAAGTGTAAAGAAAATCACATTTGCATTAGAAGTTGCAAGTATAAGTTACTATTCGCATGAATTCTGTTTTGTTCGTAAAGCTAATGTAACATCATGACACTTTTGCCTTCAAGCAAGGGTCTAATACTTCATGTAAAAATAGGTTAATTTGATTCAAGATTGACATTTTCTTCACAAGGAACAACCTACTCAGCAGAGCATGCACCCACACCCTCTTGGAGGAAGAGAGAAAAAAGCAATTTCAAATAAATAATAAAAAACCCTCAAATGAATATCAAAATTATTTACTGAATTCTAAGTAAAGAAAAATACATGCCCTTTTTCAAAGATACCTGCTAAAAACTCCAATGTTTTACGGCTTTCACTCAGCTGGGACAGTTTGCTGCCCCAGCTAATGTGTGTCCCCCCAGGACAGCCCTGGCAGACACGGGGCAGCTCCCGTGCTTCACCCACCGAGGCCCCTGGACGCACAGCTCCACACCACCCACGGAACACAGCTCGACATTGTCGCCAGCACCACGCCGACAAATTCAGCCTTTGCCATGCGCTTGGTGACCGTAGCGGCTCCCCTGAGACCCTGTCAGGGCACGGCCACAGGGGACACCAGGTGCCTGGCAGGTGTCAGAACCAAGGCCCTGCCCTGAGCTCAGACAGGGCCAGGCCCCACTTCTGCTTCACCTCCTGCTCACACAGAGGCTGCCCAGAGGTGATGGCCTCCAAGAGGCCACTCCTATGACAAGTGCAGCTGAAGGCAGCAACATTTTAAACACAGGAGGGGGAAGAGGAGGGAACACTGGTAGGGTCATCTAAACCTTGTTTCCTTTGATGCTTTGGAGCAGCTCCACAGAGCTGTGGGAAATAGAGTGTGGAGCATCTGCTCCAGCAGCCTGCGGCGCTGGTGGGAGGGGAGGGGAGGCTGTGAGGAAGCTTCCCTGCAGCCACCACCCACCACCTCCTCTCCTGGCGGGAGGACTGAGGTGAAGGGACCCTGCTCCTGTCCTGGCTGCAGGAGGTGACGAGGCCAAGTTGTTATTCTACACCCCCTGCACCACCACTGAGGGGATGGTCTGGGAGGAAAACCCAGGCACTCCACTGGAAGTGCACCATTTTGCCTCCACAGTGGGAACTTGTTGGGATCGGCCTCTGAGGACTCGTTCCCTGCCACCACCATTGGTCTCCCTCCTGTTTTCACTGGAATACAATTACGAGACACAGTGATGAAAAAAGTGGCGAAAATGCAAATCCATGGTGGTGCTGGGCAGACGGTGCTAGCATGGAGGCTGCCAGAGAGAAAGGAGTGGTCAGGGAGTGACCCCAACCCAGCTGAGCCCACTGACAGAAGCTGAAAGGAGCCCAGCCAAACCAAGTGCAAAGGAGCGCGCTGGAATGCCTGGAAAGCAGCAGCAACCCTGGGGCTGACCTCCAGCACATCAGAGCCATAGAAATGGCAGCACAGGCACCAGCGAGGAACTGAACCCAGTGGAGCAGCAGCACAACCCAACTTGGATGATCTAGCTTTTGGGAGGCTTGCTTGTCACTGTCTTCAGTTGTTTTGGGCTCGGTGGCAGAAAACACTACACACAGGAGCCCCCTCACCATCTTGCCTGTGTTCTCAACTACCACAGGAATGATCACCATACTGTTTTTGTCTGGGGAAGCCACATGGATACAACTTACAGGGTGCATCCACCATCTTGTTTTTGTTTCTCATAGTGAATACCTTATTATGGATAAAATAACTTCTTTCTTTGTATACTTCTGGCATTAATATCGTTGTTGTTGTTGTTGTGCATTTCTTATTCTATTGATTTTTGCTTTCAGTAAATTGTTATCTCAACCCATAGTCTCCACTCTTGTCCCTCCCTTACCAGAAGGGATGAAGGAAGGGAGAGTGGCTTATTTGGAGTCTAATTTGTTGCTGGTGTTACAAACCACCACACACCTTTCCTAACAGCACTGCTGACTGCAGTCCAGGTGCACTCCTCCCTTCCCTATGGCACAGCTCATCCTCTCCATGGCGGTCTGCAGGTTGTGCTGCCCAGAGCAGAAATGTCACCACTAGTCCCACTCCTGCTCTGTGGGCAATTCTCAGCAGGAGACACTGCCTGTAGGATTTAACTGATGGGTTCCAAAGGCTCAGGCACAGCGAGTATTTTAAAACCACAGTACCTAGGGGAAGTAACTATTTGTTGCAGCATTGTCAAGGCAGGTGGTGTAGACAGGCTGTCACAGAGCCTTTCCTGTAGTCAGGAAACAGGTTTCAAAATCCTCTACAGCTTGAAGACAATCAGGTGTTCCAATATGCTACACTTTTGCTGAAATTAGCATCATGAAACTGTACTACCAATATATAAATAACTGCCCTATGCCCAAATTCAGGCACCATTTATAAGTAAGAGACTAAATATCCTTCGGTAAGATTGCTGTAAAGCACTCTGCATTTTTAAGGAAGTAATCCATACTCTATGTATGCAAAGTGTGAACCAAGCCCTACAATCCACTTCTACTCAAAGTCACTTTTGTCTCCTCTTGAGTTGACAACTGCTACAAAAAATGCAACAAAATGAAAATAGGTGCTGTCACTGACAGCATTAGCAAAGTTCTGTTAAAATGCCATATAGAAGAAAACCACTTCTTCCACAATTATTCTGCAGATAGTCTTGTGCTAATATGTAAAAAGTTCACTGTGTTAAAATAAGGACTGTATATAAATCCAAACCAATTATATGAGTAATAAAAACCTTCAATACTCCTTAACAAAAAGGGGAATTGAGAGAGAGAGAGAGAAAACAAAATGACCAAAAAGAAGTTAAGTAGGTCTACATTCTAAGTGCTGGAGAGCATGGGGCATACACTTGTCTGAACACATGCTCACTTCATAGTGCTTAAGCAACCAATTGTTTGCATTCCTTATAGTAAGCACCCGCTCTTCAGTCTAGCTCCTCAGCTCAAAGGAAGGTCAAGAGCTGTTGAGGGCATTCACACTCCTGTAGGATTCACTCCTGTAACATATGTTACGGTGTATCAGAGCCCACACAATCTCTGGAACAGGATCCAGCAGGCTAAATAGAATGCCATAGCATTGTCATGATACTGTAGAGATTTGCCAATCAGAAATCACAGTATGGTAACTATATGCCTTTCAAAAGCCCAAGAGGAAAAAAAGAGTGAAATTCTGTAATGACACTGCAAAAGAAATTCACTCCCAGGCTGTCATAAGTGGGTGGAAAAGAGTTAAAGAAAGGAGACAAAATAGACAAAATATCTCCACTAGAGAAACAAAACCATAGTGATTTATCTTTTTTTTCCCATTTGAAAAAAGGCCCAGGGCTCTCATAAAAATCTCCATCTGATTCAGCACAAACCCACATGAGCTGAGAAAATTAACTGTGTCCTCCCAGGGAAGGAAGCTAAAGAATTAAAGCATGTAAATAATGTACTGCAGCAACTGTCAAGCCTTTTGAAACAACAAACTTTTGTGTTTGCATGGCTTTGCAGAAGTTTACCTATGCCTTATCTGCATTGGGTAAATTTTTTTTTTTCTGTTCCCAAACTTTTGTATGTGAAGTCTCAGAGGCTATTAATTATTAAAACATATTTCAAGTTGACAAATGACAGACTTGAACTATCTCTCACTTTAAAGTGTTTAAAACCTCTTTCCTCTCTGTTCCTGATTAAGAAACCATTTGAAGAAGTTAATTATTTTAAAGATCATCAATAAAAACCCAAATAATTTGGTCCATCTCAGGCATTTTTTCAAACAAGTTGTTTCTTCAGTGTAGCCTGTAAGCTACAAGAGAAGAATGGCTGGTTCTCCTACAGAAGTAACAGCATATTCTGCATTTAGGCAAAAAAAAAAAAAAAAAAAAAAAAAAAAAAAAAAAATCTGGGTCTATTATTTTCTTTTGTAATCAATACCTGATATAAAGTTAATATTTATGCCATTAGTATTATTAATGGAAGAGTTTTACCCCAAATTTACCAACTAAACACACTGACTAAAGTAATACCTCTTGGAAGAAAAGCAGTAAGTAGTTTGAACTCTTACCTCACTATGAAGAAACTTGAGGCCTAATACATTTTTGCTTTGGACATGTTTGGACTGGCCTAACTCTGAGAAGCAGATCAGCACAGGACACTTGAATGAGTGGGTGGAAGATGGACCTTGATCAACCATAGTAAGCTGAGATTTCAAGCAAACATATGGAAAGAAAAATTCAGACAACATGTGAAACATCAACAGCAACCTACCAAGATACCACAGGTTTGATTTTCAGAAAATACTAGAGTTTGAAGCATACACTCACTCAGCCAACAGGATATCCAGGCTGCAACAGTATTTGCAGTGAATGCATAACACAGGATCCAGGGGTACAAGCCCAGAGGCATCCACATCCACCTCTCTCCAAAGCACAGTCATTGGCACTGCTGGCATTTGTGCACCACCACAGGGAGCAAATGAAGTATTCACAGCCTGCTGAACCTCTGTCTGAGAGAACTGATGGAGGATAGTGTTTAACCCCTGAAGAACTGGGAGCCACCTCTGATCAAAGCCCACCATTCCCACGGACGTGCTAGCAATTTTTAATGGCAAATGGGACCTGATTTCCACTCAAGGCAAGCAATGAACCGTTCTTTCTCTGAAGACACAACCAGTAGGAAACTTTGTTGTGCCATTGGGTCCCAGGTATGGGAAGCTTCTTGACTTCAGGAATTTTTCTGAGGAAAGGTTTTCTATAGAAAAATGTTGCCTTGCTGAAATCTAAAACATTCTACAATAATGTGTCTATTTGAATACTGTTTCTGCTGGAAACCAGGCCAATATGAAGACTGTCCAGCCAGTGAGAGTTCATGGCAGCTGGCCAACCCAACCAGGAGCTCCAAAGGCATACAGAAGCAATAATGTGTGTGAGCCCCCTGATTAATTATTTCTATCAAAACGCATGGCGGACATTTATAAAAATCTTCAAAAGGTGCACAGG